TCCTAACACCCGTTTTCAAAACTGTACACGAGCCAAAAATTCTAATTCCTGCTTTATTCCATTTCCTGAGCGTAGTGTCTGCATTATATCGATGCAGGATTACTTTCAAAGTAAGTTACTGGCTCTACAACCGCCTTCTGCCAAAGAGCCTGGGGTAGTTTTGGCGCTCGATCTTGTCTAATAAAAGCAAATCTACTTTCACTGAGCCTATATCATTTATTGCTAATATTTTTAGTTGAACTCGAGGGCCTCTCAGGTAAGGAATGCTATAAAACAACGATAAATTGCTGGTATTCCGGTGTACTTTAAAGAGGTTTCTCGAGTGTCCTCACTGAAAATGAACTGATAAGTTTCGGCTTCCTTCAAGATGTGACAGTCCCTTTAAATTGACGTCACGAATTTAAACTGCCAAAAAATCAATCTTTTGTCTATCACTTAGCCGCTAGTTATACTGCTAAAGTTTATTTCAATGGGCTTCTCAAATGCAGAACGATGAATTTTTAGTCGTATGAAGTTGAAGGCTGCGTGTTTAATTTGATATTTGTGTTGACTGTATTGGATATCTGTACAATATTCTTTACTTATCTTTTGCCTAATTGTAAATATTTTACTTTCAGTATATCTATGCCCACTGACGTCTAGTTAGTGGTTGCCGAGTAGATTCTCCATAGCAAGAAACTGATGTCGATGATATGTTTGGCTTACCAGGGTATGCAACAAAAACTAACTAGGCAATTAATTTTTTTTAACGCACAAAAAATTACCTATGCATTAGTCTACTTTTTTTTCCATTCATTTCACACTTTTCTTTTCCTACTTTGAAGCACAACAATGAGCGAGGCTGTATGAGTTAAAAAATCCGGCCCCTAAATGCCTTGATTTATCGTCCAACACGGACATTTATGTAAACATAGCATCGATGTAAGGAAACAAAGAAAGATAAACAAAAGTTAAACTTGAAACTTCGAGACATCTATTTTTGTATCCCGCTGTTTATACCAGCCGAGGTACTAAAGCAATTTGGTTCTGAGCCAAATAATTTAAGCATGATGTATATTGCAGCATTTCCTGCCGTTATCCGGCGTGATTCATTTTTCTTTTATCCCGTTGTAGACGAGACTTCCTCACCGGCTTTCTACAGTTCATAGTTATTTTAAGACGATTTAGTTGTAGCATCCAAGTAGGTCTTGCTTAGGAATTTCTTTTGTACTTTTTCAAGATTCGAGCTAATTCCTGTTTTGGCTCTCCGTAAACAATAGATACAAACAGCCCTGAACTAGCGACACAGTTCAAACAAAGACAAGCTCAAAATAATTGTGGAGATCTTAAACGTCGCAAGATGATCCTCTCTCAAACAACTCGAGTTTGTTCCTGTTTCCTGTGCCTTAGGAAACGAGTGAGGGCAGGCAAAACAGTGCAGCCAAAATTGGTCATGATTTTAGGAAGTTCTTTTACATATAGGAAATTTTCACATCGAATATATTTCGTTGGGTTCTGCTGAAAATAAAGAAGGCTAGTCTGTGAGTTGCTCAGAAATGGAAATCCTTGTCCTCGTGTTGCTTTGATAGCTGTGTGTTTTCTTCTCAACAATCTGTTTTCCATTTCGTTCAGCTGGCCACGTATAAACAGGAAGAGCTTTCATTACCCCTCACGGTAACGCCCTAATTTTTTCACTACGTTTGAAAATAGCTTTCTCCACCTTCTCCGTTAAAAAAACACCTCCGCTCCTAATCATATCCAATTGATAATTTTCCATCTGTCGTTACTTAATCGCCGAGTTTAAAGTCTTAAAATGCAGGTCACGTATAAGAGTCTCACCTACAAACTGGTATTCCACTAATTTTTTCCTTCAATCATACAATACTGAATATCTGATTTATTTATTTCGAGGCCTTGAACAGTTTCTCGCGGGCGAAGAATTGTTTTTGCCACAGCGGCAACCGTGAATGAGGGCCTGCTCGTTTTCTACTCACCTTGCAGAGCACGCTGTTTTGTTCAACTTATAGAGAAAAGTCTCATATGACTTTCAGGTAAGCTGCTTGTCTGTCCCATGACTGGCTGACTTACTCGCTGGGTGGTGACTGGTGAGAGACAAAGTCAGGGTTCAGTAACCTTGTTCAGGAACACACACACTTGCACGAAATATAACCTCAGCCACAGCTTCCATTCCTCTTTAACCGCATTGCACACTGAGTAAGTTTTTCTGGACACTTTTCATCCCATGAAACAAATCCTCTTAACGCTGATTTGGACTGGAAATTTGTAGAGACGGAGTCGAGGAAAATGACCTCATACTGAGCGCATAGGACCATATTTCCCCATCCTTTGAGAACAAGAAAAAAATACCCTTTTCTACTCGTGTCGCAAATTTTTTACTACAAGACGAAAAATTGCTTTGACAGAAAAAGCTTCCAACAGCATGTAGCGATTGCATAACTGTAGCACTTTTAAGTTTGCGCGTTGCATGCGCAAGGATTTTAAAATAATATTTATTTTTTCATTTGGGGGCGTAGTCGAGGCGTTGCAGCTGGCGACGTCTTGTGACCTTCTGACTTGTCTGGTCTGGCAATGACACAGAGAAGGCCCAAGAGGACTGTCTCCCGTCTCTCCTCTCTTAGCGAAGTGTTTATCAAACTGTTTGTTTCGAAATGGGGCTGCGATCTACCCTGTGAGAAAGCTTTCCTTGAGGGCCCGAAAGACTTCGGTCGAAGGCCAATTGCGACCTCACCAGAATTTTTCCGCCCCCTTCCTGAAAACGTTCCGGGGCGGATCCATCCCTGAATGGCGAGAGAGCTGCAGCTGAAAGACAGACGATAAATATTCCAACAGGGCCTAAGAGTCGTGCGAGTGAAGTAGGTCTCGTATTTTGGAGGACAATTGAATATGAATTTGGCGCCGGTCGTTAGGAAAATAACGCAACAGTCTAAATGAAAAATATGACAAAATTGTGGGAGAATATAATTGGCTATCAACAAAAGAAAGTCAAGCCTCTTTTGAGTTTTCAAATCATCTGGACTGTATTTGTAGGAAAACAGTTAACAAAGTTTGTTCTTTGTAAATGCACTTAAAACAGTAAGCAAACTGTGACCTTATAATAAACATCTGTCTAAAATATCGTCTATATGTGGTTATGGGAAAACAAACAATATTTTTAAAGACCCTTACGTTAGTCCGCGTTTTGGTAATGAATATTATCTTTGCACTTGGCGTTTAGCACACGTGTATGCGAACATAGCGAGCTTTTAGCAATCCTCCTTGTTAGCACCTCACGAAATATATCGGGAACAGTATGGAGTATGTGCGTATTAAACGTAAGGATGTATAGGGTTTAATGCTCAAAAATTTTCCTTTTAATGGAAGTATCATGTTGGGTAGATTGACAGCGAAATCGCTCTTTTTGCAGCGATCAGAAGGAAAATCTTATCAACCTGATAAATTTCGAGAAAGCGATCATGTCCTTAAAATTTCTTAAAAGTTAATGTCGCAGTGATATGAAAGGATTAGCTAGATTAACCAGTGTGCCTTTTATAAACTGGTTCGCTTCCACGCTTGAGTTGGATTTGCAATAAATATTGCAAATGCTGTTTGAACTTTATCCGCTGAAATCGAATCAGCGATTTACCAGCGGTAGTAATTTGCTACTCTCTTCAAGTTTGACCTCCTGAAAGTGAAAGTTTCAATGGAGATGCACAGAGAAACCAAAGAAACCCTGGAACTGTTTTTCATGTGAAGTTTCTTCAAATATACCTGCCGATTTGGTGCCAATTCCGTCGGGAGACGTGTATGAACAGATCCACCGTGTCCCTTCTTTTGATACCTTACTTTGTGCCTGTGAGAGATTAGGTTCTATCATTTGCAACGACAAACATGGCTATGAACAAGTGGTGCAGAAATGTTTTTGACTCGCGTAAAAAAAAAAAATATGACAGAAGCAAAAACCTCAGAGGGCATTCTCTTTGATTTGCAAGAGTTAAGAACGTTCTCTCCCTAGGCCACAGAACAAGCTTTAATGCTAGGTTCTCGCCATTCGCATTGCCGAGTTCGCTCCAGAGTTTCCTGTCGATTCTAAAGCCAGGTTGAGTCTAAGAAACTTCAAGTTACGCTTAGTTCTTAAAACCAATGGACAGAAATTAATAAAACAAAGCAGTTTAAAGTGAAACAAGCCTGCTCAAAATACCACTTTCTTAATTAACACTGAGTCTGTTTTTGTGTTTAACATAAATTGAACGCTTTGAAAAGGGGTCTTTTGTTCTGTCAAGTGATCATTTGGTTTTTTTGCACAACAAACTCTGAGAAACTGCTGTTTTTGTTTTTTTGGTGGCCATTTGATTTGCAAATAAAATGACATATCTTGTTTTGACGAAGGCCTTTCTTTAATTTCTGAGCACCTGCAGAAATTGTTTCCATGAACCTAAAGCAATGAAAATGCTTTTGTGTATTGATTTGATATAGTTAATTCTTTAGTCTTTCCCGGATATAAACTTATAATTTTCTCTCTTAAGTTAGAACTGCTAAAAATCGTCCTTAATACCGACCTCCTTCTTTGTCACAACGAACAGTCGTTCATGTTTTATGTTTCCAAAACTAACGACGTGTTTTATTCAATACAGAGCACAATTAGTACAGACCATGCTTTCAAAAACAAAGCAACAGGTTCCAGCCGCTTTAAGTTTCTTTTCACACTTTTTACCGCGACACCTGCTTCAACAAAACATTAGCATATATTCTGCAATGACAAAATGTTGGATGCCTCAAAACATCAAAAGAATTAATATTTTGTCATTTACGTTTCTTTCAAGGGTCGATTTTAGCTTGTGGCTCTTTAAAATTCGCAAAGCGTTGGAAAATAGCGCATCGTTCTCATTCCGTCACCGAAAGCTATTCCATCGGTTCATTGAATAACGAACGCATGAACAAACTCTATTCGCTATGTCTATGACCATAAAAGAACGAAACAACTGAAACGAATAAACTCAAACGAAGGCTGATCCAGGCGTAGCATTCACTTGAAGTTTTAGATACATTGTAGCATTCGTTTGAAATTTGAGATACATTGGTCAGGATGAAGTTTCGAAGCCCTGTGAGCATGCCGAGTGAAAATGTTCGTGAGAACAAACAGACAGCGCAAAATTTGAGGTAATTTATTTTCTCAGGCTCTAAAAAAGTTTCCTCTTCTCAAATATGTCGCGGACTTACACGATTCAGTAATCTGCGTGCTATATTTTCAACAGTCGAAAACCATTTTAGCTTTAGACAATTCGTGCACGCCATGTTTGGGATCCGCCCATCCGATAATAGGGAATTCGTTGGAGTATTGTTCAGTTGGACGAAACAAAACACTCTTCTTCAAACGTCAGTTCTTTTCAACAGCAGATTTCGCGATCGATGTGCACGGAGGTTGATGTGCTTCGTAGAGTGTCATTTTAACGAGGTCTTCATCGTCTTACTTTGGGATTCATTTTGAAAATGTTGCGAAGCAGTGTTCAGATGTTTTCCTGGGAGATTTTAATTGCGCGCTGGTATATTGTCGTAGTCGGTCTTAAAAACAATTTTGAGATTTTCGGCTAAATGCCAAGTTATTGATATGCATATCATTTGTTTATAATGAGATATTCCTACGCCGGCCGTCCATTTGCTGTGGCTCTGTTCGTGTGACTTTCACCGTGAATCATACCGTGAGCAATTTGGGATTTGGTTCATATTTTGTGAATCAGTTTCTCAAAAATATTATTTTTAACATTAGCGCAGGTTTGCGTTTCATTTCATATTTCTTTTAAATGTTGCCCGACTTCATGAGGAGAGGCACTCACTCATCTAACCGTAACAAGAACGCTTCCGTTTAAACTACTAGCAATCCTCCCTTCCTTTTCGGCGAAGACCGTTGCGCGAGTAAAAAAATTAGCGAAGAAAGATTGCGCGTCACGCGGAACTCTAGGATTTTGGCGCACGAAAGGTTCCGCTTGGTGGACTAATATCAGTTTTTTCACTGCTTTGTCATGACTCGCGCGACGGAATTCGCCGAAGAGGAGGGACTGCTCGTAAAACTCACGGTCTAGCTTCCGTTCAACTCAGAAAATACATTTTGAAACTTTCTGGTCCAAAGAAATTAATTTATAATTTCAATGATTTGATAAACCCTACATATTTACTCAAGATTTTACTTCATTGGCGAAGGGTTTTGTTTGAATAGCCCACTGTTAGAGTAACAAGCGTGTGAAACCTTCTGACCTCTTGAGCTGAATTGGGTAAAGTCAAGGAAGTTATTTTAGACAGTTTTGTGAATTCATTTCGTCAGTTATGAACTCATACCTGAAAATTGGCTTCGCAGCACGACTGCTACAAACATGAATAAATTCTGAGTTTCATGAAAGAAAATCAGCCCACAGATCTGTATAAACTTGAAAAATGCGGAGGCATTATTTTTGTCGGAGAAATATTTAATCATTTATGGCGAGTGTGACAAAATAAATCAATGAAGATTGATTACTCAGGCGGATTCAAGTTTATTGACCTCACGATCTCGTGGGAAGATTCTCCACCATTACTGGAGGGCTGATTAACAACTTTTCACCGAAGTGGAGGTGGCTAATTCGCGGGTTTGTGAATATCCACCTCCAGCCACCAACACGGAGGTGGAAAGCTGTTGTAGCATATGCTAAAACAGAGAGACAATTTAGTTCATTCATTCCTGTAACGATTATATCTTTGGGCACAAATCCCGCGCGCGTTGCTCGAAGGCGAATAGCAAAGGATATTCGGAATTTGAGTAGCCAATCAGAGCGCGGCTTCAACGTCATCGACTGTTTTATTTTAGACTAGAACCAAAATAATCTGTTTGCTGTAAATACAGTGTATTACTGCATCTGTCATTTATTTATTCGAAGTATACGCATTCTTTCAGTTCACCGCCAGACGCCAAGAACCACAAGGGAACGATTCGCCGACAGGAGAGAGAAGGAAGCCCGAAATGTTACCACTGTGACGGAGAGGAAAACATTACTGTTGAACATTTCCTGTTGTCCTGTTCAAAGTTTGAAGAGATTCGCTCAGAGCTACTTTGCCAACTCCGCGGCAAGCTGGAAGCTATCGGAGAGAGCGGTTTTCAAGTATGGGAGACCTTCACAGCAAGCAGCCCTGCATTCCAATCCAAGATCATTCTTGGAGCGCAGAGCTTTGGCGCCGAAGAGGACGAGGCAATCAATCACTTTCGGACACAGTACGTCGCCAGGGCCTGGAGCGAGAGGCTTGTGATATGAGGTCGTTCGCTAGCTTACGTGTAGCCGTAAGGGGAGAGGGGGGGGGAAGGAGGTTACAACTACAGGTAGGCTAGTCGTTCGCTGACGATGCATAACCTCGTTTTTTGATAAATTGTCCCTCATGACTAAGTCATGTTTTCAGTAACCACTCCCTCTTCTAGCTCTATTTATCAAGTAAAGAAATACAATTATTGTGAATTTTTTCGAGGAATCTAGGGGCGAATATATCTATTGTAATGGCTTGTTTACAGGCTCTCTTTTCTTACTCTCGAGGAGACCTCGGAAACAGTCATTCTCATTGGATTTTCGGTAATTCTTCTCCGCCTTTTTATTAGTCAGAGAATTGAATCGCTCATAATCCAGCCAAAAAATAGTTATCTAAAAAAAAGCAACGAATTATTGATAAAAAACAAAATGAAACAAAAAAATTAATGAAAAAAAAAAAAAAAACCTGTTTGAACGACAACCTTATTCAAAACACAACAGACTGATTAGGCATTCAAAGCGTGTACAAGAATAGGGATCGTAATATATTTCACATAAGTATTAAATAAATTTTTAGGTCAGTTCTGTAAGTATTTCTGTTATCAGCTTTAATTTAATGTAATAAAATAATCTTCAAGGTCTTGTTTTTGTCGACGTTCGATGTATAGTTACGAGAAAATGAAAATCGATAACACAGCGAACAATGGCCTTAAAATTAATTCTCATGGGAAACCACTGAAAGATTTTTAGAATGCGCTACTAAATCCGCGCATACGTTTGGGCGCCTTACATGCTGAAATAAGCCATGGGCGAAACATTTTGATCCCGCGTAAAATGAACCACTTCAAACGCTAAGAAACTTTTTTTCAGTTTTTTCATTCCGACAAAAAGTCTGCATCATCGCTTGATTAATTTTGCAAAGTTTGAAAAATCTGCGACGTTTTACGAGAACCCTTACCAGGGTACACAATCGAGACCTGTCCCAAAATGACCATGGTTTGTCAAGCCCTGATCGAATGACGTTGTTGAGAACATAAAGGTCTTATTCCCATGCACTATTCAACTAAGAACGGACATGAGATCACCACTTTTTACATATCGCAGGCTAAATGATTAGCGAGCGATAGGCCACAGAAATACCAGATATGTCACAGGATACCAAGCCCGAGGCAAATGTTTTGATCTTCTGTAAGTAATTACCATGTTCCCTAACATGCTATGTGCCTAGTTTGGAGAACTCCGTGCTCAAAGCTTTCATGACATCCTGGTGAGAAAATGTTTCATGGCCACTTTTGATACGAGCGTAGTTTTCTTTAACGAACATGGCAAATCGACTAGGAGTGCGATTCTGTGGTGTGCCATCCTTCTTCAGCGGTGGAACAAGCTCCAAACGGCTGTAAAAAACGAGAAAGAAGGAGAAAGAACTTGAACAACTGCAGATCTTAAGCAAAGCCCTAAAGTTTAGAGAATATACAATATAACTTGGTTTTATCAACTGAGTTGATGATAAATTGATAGCACGGTATAACTGTTGGCGTCATTCGCTTAATGATTACAACTACAACTGTTTCGTGGTCTTGTCTTAGAAAGAGCACATTGAAAGTTGAGACTAAACAAAGGCTGTGCTCTAAGATTCATTCAATTTTACATAGACTTACAAGATAATTTGGTGTTATCAACTAAGTTGATAATTTAAATTGGCTACCGTAAAGAGTTTCTATAGCTGACGATTCAAGCGTTAGCCCTTCGTTAGGGAGTTCCTAAGTTTATTTGCTCAAGGGAGGTCCTAAGTTTCTTTTGCTCAAACGAAAACTGCGCCTCCAATTTGTCAAGTTCGTCATTCACAATCGGTGTTAATCTTCTCCATGGTTGGCCATCCTTGTTCTCTCTTCTCTAAATTTCATCATACTTATATCTTACAGTTTCCTTCAAGTTTAAGTTATTGTGTTCGTCACAAAAAGGAACGAAAAAATGCTCGATCACAATGTCGCGACGCAGCTCTGAATCTCGATGTTTTTCTGAAATCTTTTTGGTAGTAAACTAACCAAATCTCTCTCAAGAACGACACCACGCTAAAACTAACGCTAAAAAAGACATCAACTTACCTGTGACAATAAGCACATCGACTTTTCTCCAAATTTACTGACTTAGAGTGACGGCCAAACCTAATAAGTGATAAACATCGGCAGATAAAGATCACTAACACATAATACTCGTTTTTTCGATAGAACTCATTCCCAGCCCCAATGTTTAACGACCGACTAGTGAGCAGGTCTTCATTAGTAGCGCTTCGACGCGAGCGTTTCTTTGCTTGCGAGAAATTAAGACGCCCTGAGCAACGTGAGCCGTCGAGGGGTCTTCAAGAGGTCTGGCACTAATTATTACTAGTGCCAGACCCACGGCAAACCTCTCCCGACGCGTCTCAAATCTTCCCGAGGGCGGAAAAACGCGCGCAATGATCAGCGGTAAATTATCCATTACCACAGATTTCTAGAAGTGTTAGATAACGCACTTTCTAAAGATACTCACGTGTTCCCACATTTGGTACACCTGTACGTGTATTTGGCTTTGATGGTGTAGCTGTGGCACCGCGAGATCGGCGGCAAGTCTTGATGGACATGATTTGCACGTAATGTCCTACAATAGAATCAACGATAAAGAGACTACTGTGAAATGGAGTTCAGAATGTGGTTACTACATCTGTAAAAGCCGGTTAAATTAAATAAAATAGGGTGGTAATTTTATAAAGAACGTCTCACCATCTTTTCCAAACGGGTCCGTGACCAGCTTTGACCCCGCTAATCATCCAGGCGGCAGCGTGACACAGCTCGTGTATTAGTGTGTCACGCAAGCGATCTGCAAGTCGCAAAAGTAGTTATTTAAAAGAAGCAAGAGCACGACTCAAGTGCGAAATTGGTCAGACAAATAATGCATCAGGTGCTCGATTACTTTCTGCACAATTTAAGTGTGAGAAATATTTTCTTTTCAGTCACCATGGCGAATCATCAGAGTAAAGGTGAATTTGACAAGAAACTAAAGAAAATTTATCTTAAAAACAAGGAAACTTCCTACAGCGCGGGAAAAAGCGAGTGACCAAGACACGACTGGTCTTAGATCTGCATCTGATTGGTTGAGATTTTGGCGCGAGTTTTTAGGACCAATCACAGAGCGACGTAAAACAGGACAGATGCAATCTCGGATTACTTTAGACACTAAACTGAAAACTACTCTCAACCGGCCGGTGGGTCAAATCGAGTGAGGCGTACTCCTTCACCCGAAAGTGAAAACAACGGAAATATTGTGGAACAAATCAACAATATCTTGCCTGCGGAATCAATAACTTTGTCTGCTAATTCTATCCTGGCCATACGAAGACTGCCTTTCCTAGAAAAAGAAAAATGTAAAAGTCACATGAACATAATGTTAAGCCATTTACGAGCGAGTGTAGTTGAAACCAAAGGTGATGCGGTGACAACGGCTAGTTGGAACAAAGGCAAATGTCAAAAGGTGTCAATAAGAGCTTGAGGTGAAAACAAGCAAGCTGTCTGAAGCTCGGGTAAACGCGAATAACCAGTTCACGATTGATTATAGGGTTGAAGTGAAGCGAGTTTTACTCCGATTTCAATCAACAATCAAAGTTACCTGCTGTAATAGCAGAAGCCAGCAGTGCTGCGCATTCTTGAATTCCATGATATCTGGAAATCTGACGGCAGCTGGCGAAAAATAAATTTCAGGATATTTAAGGATTTACTATTGACAAATTTAAAAATACAAGTCAATTGATAAAACTAAATAAATAAATTACCTCTATTTCAAATACCCCCTAATTCAAACATCATAATTTCATCGTGAAAAAATAAGTATCAATTTCACTTTTCTTTTTCCAAGTGCATGAGTTAAAATAAAGGTTACCGTCTTTAAAAGAAGAAATAAGTTACTTTTAAACGCAATTTTTATCTTCATAACTGCCAGGAAACTACAAATCAGAAGGTTAATTTGTATTACGAGGTACAAAATCCTGTAACCTGATTGGCTATGCTCCATAGTGCCCCGGATACTACTGGTATCAGTTTTTACCTGGTTATCAAAGACTGTTCGGTTGTACAATTCAAAGAGATCTCTCACAAGTTTCTCTTTGTTCTTCTTAAAATCTTTCTCGGCGGAGAACGGGGTAAGGATATTCTCCAACACGCTTTTGGATCGAGATGGTTTAGCTGATAACAATCCTAGAAGATAAAATATAAGTTATGTTTTGCACTCAACGAAGAGCAGGGTAAGACGATAGCTTACTAAAAGGCTTGAAAAGTAAAAATAAAAAGTGGGTTAAGTTTGTACTCGAGCCAGTTGGCCCATCTAGTTGTAACTTATCTCGGTTTCCATAGCATGAAGCGATCTAGAGTATTACCACTTCCCCTTGAATGAGATGCCAGTCCATCGCAAGGTTACCCCCAGCATTTCATCAGGCTTCCCTGATAATCCGCTAGAACCCACTTATACTTCTGCTGGTGGAAGAAACACTGTGAGAGTAGAAACTCTCGTCTAAAACCCAGACCCATCGACCTGGAGTCCAGTGCACTGACCATCGAGTCAGCGCGACTTGAAAAGCGCGATGCAAAAGAAAATGGACGAGAAAATAATTTAATGTTAGTTTTAAGATCTTATATATAATATAAGATCTTAAAACAAACATTAAATACAGGACTTAGACAAATAAACCTTGAGAAGAAAGCAAGAAGAAAAAAACTACAAAAACAACAAATAAATTTCTCACCACTGTCATTTCTGGGTTTGGTTTTAGGAGTCCTCCACGAGAAATCTGTCGAGGGTGTCTGAAACGTAGGACGGTTTGGGGCTGTGCAAAGGATAAGGAGAAAGGGGATTGTAAAAAAAAAAAGTGTATATCTATATTTTAGTCATAACTGCACGCTAATTTCGTGTAAGATCGCGCGTTGGTTTGACGTTTATCAGACCATATGAATTGCTGCATAAGTTGATGCTATATAAAACTATATATATTAAATATTATTATATTATTATCAGTTTGTCAGTGCATTGAAACTTGAGTGTCTAGGACGAAACGTACCTAACAAACTTTGTTTAAATTTATCTAGTTTGAACGCTTTTCAATTGGGTGTTGTAAGACCGAGAGCGATGTCGTTACGGTGGCCAATCGGAACAAAGGGATATATTACAAGGAACCAATGAAAGCACAAGAGAAAAAAAGGCGCGGGAAAAAGCGGACAACCAAGTCATTAGTAAAGGTCTTAAATCTGATTGGATAAGACGGTGTGCAAGTTCTCGGGGCCACTCACATGGTAAAGATATGATAAACGGTGGCAATCTAGGACTTTTATTTTTTACTTAACTGAAAACTAAACTGCTTTATAATTTGAGCGCTTTTCAATTGAGTGTTACAAAACCAAAACCAAAGGAATCACAACAGCCAATCATAGCAAGGAGAATGAAGTAGCCAATGACAACTCAAAGTAAAAACAAGCAAACTACCTGAAGCGCGGGAAAACGTGGGTGATCAAGTAGCGATTGAGTTTAGTTTGAACCTGATTGGTTGAGAAAGTGGTGCGAGTTTCTGGACCAATCACAGGGCGAAATAAGCGAAACCAAAACAATCCCCAATTACTTTCGTCGCTCATTTAAAAATTTATCTATCTTACTTGAATGGGTGGCGGCCTTCCTGGATAAGCTGGTCAATGAAGTCTTTGAAGGTGCATTACCTGCAACTGAAAAAGGGAAAAAAACTACGTATTTAAAAAGTTGGCAATGAGAAGCTCCAATGCAAGTTTAAACCGAAAAAATTGTGAAAATCTTGGCAAACCCAAACCCCGAAATGAATGCCAAGGAAAGTGGGCAACTTCCTAGGGCTTCATTTCTCCATGGGATGGTTTTTATTTCATCTTATTTTAATCAATTTTTTTTCCAAAGCAGGTTGAATTACCTGGTGTTGCTAACTCGATACAATCTTCATTTTCTTTGTCGTCATCAAAGAATTCGCCAGGTTCAGGAGTGAAACCAGGGTCACAAAATACGTCATCGTCCTGAGCTTCGATGATGTCATTATAATCGTCATCATCATCATCATCATCATCCACAATAAACATGTTTAGACTGTAGCCAAAGAAATTGTCAATATGATCAACACTGTGCAGAAAACAAGGCTCTTATTGAGAAAGAGTACTGGTAAGTTGTTTGGTAGAATGTCCCAATAAGCTTTTACACCCTAACATCAGTATACATATTCTCCACACTATTCTCTATACATTTCCTAAGGTGCTGACAAGGAGAATTTGGGTAATAATCAAGTGATTCTTTGGTTGATGATCATTTCCTTTATTCTCATGACCTTAATGTGTGGTTCAAGGGTGATCTTGTAAGGAGAAATTAGATGCTGGTCACCCTTAGGGGTCAAAGGGTTAATCCTGTTAGTTGTGTTTTTCCACCTGGGTTAAGATAATGAATGTTTAATCATTTGACTCACAATATTTAAAATGTAAAAAATATTTAAATTTAAAATTAAAAAATTTAAATTTACACTTTATGTAGCACTTATTGCAAGACTCTAAGTGCATTACAATATTTAAACATAAAGTGCTTGAAAATCCCATCTGGCAGGAGGCAGACCAGTTGGCTATTTACAGACTGCAGCCGAGGAGTTGAACCCGAGGTGACAAATCCAGTGAGTGGCAGGGTGGAGGACTTGAACCCAGGACCACCAGATTAACAATTCCAGCACCCTAACCCCTCAGCCACTCTGCCTCCACTCAACATTTAGAGTCATGTTCAATTGTAGAGTTAGTCTATCAATTGAGGATTGCAAAGTTCTGATTTTTATTCTGTTAGTAGTTGTTAAGTTGAATGATAAAACATTGCACCAGGAGTGATCAACCATTGCTATAAATAGCATTGTATTATCCCATCTCATTGCCTGATGAAAGCAAGCAGTATACCACCAAAACTTTGCAATATTCAATTTAAAATAATCCTACAGTTGATGGTAACTCTTGATCATGTGAAAAATGATCAAACAATTATTTATTGAGGTGTCTAATTTCACTCAATTAGTAAATTATGGTGTGAATTATATTGGCAATCATAAACTCAATGATTTACATATAGACATATTGATATTACCTTGATTCTGGTTTTCTCTCTTTTGCAAACAATCCTGATTGTTTGGGAGTCCGGATATTCTGTAAAACTATATAAAAAACATCATTTTTTAAATTAATTCGATGTGTCTCAGGATGGCATATCAAAGTATGCCTGGATCAGATTCAGTAGCAATAAGAATTCTTAAAGTTAAATGAAAATTTTCTTACACTGTTCAAAGTCATCTACATCATCACTTTCACTTTTCTCTGGATTATACTTGTTCAACAGTCTTTCACTTAGGCTAAAAACATTCAACAAGTGAGAAATATCATTTACTGTTAGTAATCCACTACCTTCATTTTTCCTCCAAAATGATCACTTGTCAATTGCCACTTTTTAAATGATTAGTAAACACACACACAAAAATTAACAATTGTAATATGCAAGTTGTCAAGTTGTTTCTAATACCTAGCTTTAACAGGACTGGTTTCTTCAATACTGCAGTTAATGGTACCCATGCTAGGGAAAAATAGTAAAAATGTCAGGTTATGTATAGCAATGAAACTCAGGATAGAAAGTATTTTATTATTAACTCATAACTGAAGCATCAATGTCTGGGCTACGAACAGAGTAAGGTCATAAAAATTACTATATGTAATAACATGATTTCAAGTGCTTTTTCAAGACAGCAAAATTGTACAAGCATATAGGGCAAGTGCAATTTGTAATCTTTGAAAAATTACCAATACTAATTAACTATGCAATAATACACAAAAAAAAGCATCATCATCAGAAAGTCAAGACAGACAAAATTTTGTAATTTGCAATTTGTAATTTGCACCTGTGTTACAACTTTGCACTGGTGTTACAACTCTGTACTAGTGTTACATGAAAAAGGCACTTGTTTCCAGCCAATCAGAAGTGCACAATTTTTCATGTACATTATTACAAAGTTTACATGATAGCTTTCTTGTCACAGAGACTATGTAGAATTATGAGAGTAAAAAAGGCTGTGCAGAAGATTTATTTCACTTAACCTGGTTTTAGCTTTGATTGATTCTTTTGATACATACCTTTCCCCATCAAAGTCATTATCATCATCATCATCATTATCACTTTTTCTATCATAGTCACATGCAGAAGATATTGCTAAAACTTGCATTTCTTCACTATCCAGGAGATTCCTATCATCATCATCATTACACTTATCATCATTGCTTTTGTTTAAACACGTGTGGTCTTTGTTGTCTTCCTGACTATCACTGTAGCTGTCAGTGTTGTTAAGGGAGCTGGATTCTTGAAGTTTGGAGAGCTCATGATCAACACCCTCGACAGGACTGTAAGATCTATTGTTATTTTCAGAGTTGTTATTAAAACTGCTGCAACCATTTCTGCAAAAGTGGGAAAAAAAGAAAAGCATCAAGAGAGTCACAATGTTGCAAGTCTTGTGATAAAATTGTGCTCATTGACCACTAACCTGAGTGTGGTCCTGCTTAAATCTATTGACAAAGCACCTTGGCCTTCATCATCTGTCACAGAGTTTAACATTTCTCTTTGTCTTTTTTCTATGTTGTTGCATTGTACATCTTTATCGTCAACATCATCATTATGCTCAATATCGTCAACTTCAGTGTTACTTAGTCCATTGTGGACACTGTTGTTGTCACAAGGCTCATTACTGCCACAATGGGAACCAGTTTCATCAAGTCTGGACAACTCGCTGACTTTTGCAGGACTATCAGATAAACTGATATTTTCGGTGCTAACATAGCTGCAGTCATCCCTATTAAGACATAAAGATATTTTCTTTACAATGTAAATGGTCAGAAAAAGCTCATTCCTTGTAAAGAACTAACAGTGGGTTCCTCAAACCCTTGATGCAATTATAAAGAAGCCCATCTGGTATCTTCTTCTAGCAATTTTAATACATTATCTGGAAAATAGGTGGTGAGAAAAGGCAGTTGTAATGGCTGGAGGCAAAGGGTACATTTTTGATACAACAACAAACATATACAATCTTCATATAGTCACAGTCACAGCAAACTCCCTTAACTTATTCACATGGTAGTGTCAAATACCTAGAGGGGAGAAATATCAATCCATTATTCCTTGAAGTGATAAACTTGTTACTTTTTCTTATAATATCTTTGCATTATCCACATAACAGGTAATGAGAATGCTCAGACTTATCAGGTAGAAGTTGTTCTCTTAATCTGACACCAAATTCTCATAACTAATCACTTCTGGGAGTGAAAGGGGGTTAATAAACTAGTTATATGATATTATTACGATCACGGTAAAATGCTTATAATAAAGATTAAAATTATTTACAGAATCAGTATGGAATTTCATCTTCACAAAGTAAGCAAGAAAATTAATTTGTCTTGCCTTCATTTTACCTTGACTGGGACCTGATCAATTCCCTTGATAAGTTCCTGCTGCAACTGTCACTAACTTCCAAGGAATTATCTAAGAGAGATGAGCAGCCTTCCTCTACAATCATGAGTGATTTTGCCTCTATAATGTCTTTGTAATCATCCTTCAGCTGATCACACCTTTCAGCATTGTCATCATCATCCAACGCATCATCATTACCATTTCTGTACTTGAACTCATCATCAGCATCATCATTGCTATTTGTGTTTCCGTTAGCATCACTTTCAGTGCTGCCTTCCTCTCTGTTGTTATAAAAACAAGAATCCTCAACTTTGAAGCCTTCAAGGCTTGCTGTTCCGTTTGCATTCTCCAACCCCTCTTGAATGCATTGTTCTGTCATGTCAAACCCAGAACTGTCCCTCTCAAAACTGTGTTCAAGTGTGCCACTCATTAGATCATTGTTTTCAGAAAAATACATTTTTTCGCAAAGCTGAGAGTCAGTTGAGGATTCTTGATTTACATTTGAGGTATTTCCTAAGGCATCGTCACAGATATTTACGTAATCACTGTAGTCGTCTGCATCGTTGGAATACATGATCACGCTTGAAGTATTGTCCTCCTCCTCAATTTCTTTTCCGTGGTCAGAGATCAGACCAACTGATTCCGTCTTTGTAACAATTCCATCTCTGTCTCCATTTGATTGCGATAATTTGATCAGCTACGGAACAATATGAAATCATCAGAATGGATTAGACACTCTCGCAAATATTATAACACGTACAGACCATGATAAGGTGAAAGAGGGATATGCTAGAATACCGTACTCGAAATAAGCGATCAAAATCGGGAATGCATTAATCTACACAGCTGATTTGATCACGAGCTAGGAAGAGTCTTCTTAAACAGCTAGACCTCATAAGACACTTTGTAGATCCAAAAGTGTCAACTGAAGGTTAAAAGATACAATGGGCGAGATACTAAAACAAACATTTGCCAGAGGAGCGTTCAATACGAAAAACTGAAATCGATTACGATTATTTAAAAGCTAAATTACCTTTTCAATTTTCCCACGCAAACTAGGCTGATCAAACCATCCAAATTTTATGCCCATGTTTAAAAATCGTTCCTCTACCAGTTTCTTCGTATACAATTCCATGATTCAACTCGCGATCGATCTCCCAAATCTTACTGCGAAAGTCAGAGGAACTAAATTCGAATTTTGGCGCTGAACTAATCGGTAAAGCTGAAGACAGAGAAGGCGAGGTTACAAAAGATTGAGAGATGTTGATTGGTTGGCTGTTGAGTAGCCAAGCCTCGAGAAAAGTCAAAACAACATGGTGGTCTTTACTGTCTCAGCAACCCTTCCAGTTTTCAGAACAAGTTTATTTATGTTTAAATGCGTTTGTAGAAAATCGTCTTTAGCTGATGAGGTGGTCCTTGCGCGCCACATATGCGGATCGACCATCAGGACTAGAACGCCTTGGTTTGATCGTCAAAAAGGCTCTCAAAATTGCACCGCGCGACGCACGAAAGTAGAATTTGCGCCTGGACCTAATATATTCCAAAGAACTCAATCGACGTTTGCAGAAAACAACTCTTCTCCTAGCACCAGGTGTACCCCGGATCTGATTAAATTGCCGTGGAGTGTCCAACTAGGGCACTTCCAAGCAAAAGGAAGCAGGCACTATCATTCTCGACGGCAGCTGAATACGGCTAACTTTGTGGACAGTTGCCCTCCTGGCGCACAGCCGTATCTACGGTTGATTCGTCTCGATAAACCCATAGGAACATGGCTCTTGTACTTGCCATGCACATGGAGCATAGGGCTTGCAGCTCCCGCAGGCTCCTTACCAGATCTCAAATTGTTGACCCTTTTTGGAGTAGGGGCCTTGGTGATGAGAGGGGCGGGTTGCACCATCAATGACATGTGGGATGTTGACTTTGATAAGAAGGTGAGCAGGCGGAACAACTCTAGGAGTTTTCAAAGGTTTGACCTGATCTCAAATTCATGTCAACTCTTGTGATGGTCCTCCAAGTCTTAAAAGTAGTGCTGGTGCAATTTACTTTGGTTTTGAAGCCTCAAGGAGTGAAAGTTCTGAAAGACTGGAATTTTTTTTTCAGCCCAGGATCTTGGTCGATAGTAGCTAGAATAGGTTAATGTAAGATTGTTAATGTGAAAATCTTTGTATAGGTCTGTGTGAATAGGACACATGGAGTAAGCTGAGTTACAATAAGGTAATAATTATATGAAGGAGTTGTGTGACTAAAATTGTTAGGTCCCAGTCTAAGATTTTCAAACAGAGGTCTCAACATCTTGGGGAGACTGAGATTTTACCATTTACAGCTCCTGTGTCTGTAATGCTTGTGTCTCCCACAGGATGTCCTAAAAAAAATTCACCCCCAAGAGTGTCTGGCTTATAATTTGTCCTTACAGTATCACTCTTGAATCAAATGTGAAGGTTATGAGATTGAAAGAAACAATTTCCAATTCTAGAAGCTCCAGACTGTCAAGGAAATTTCCTAGTCAGTACTATAGGAAATGTTAAGAGGACAGTGTGAGGAATATAAATGCTTATGTTAGGCATGAATATGGGCATGTTCCTAGAATTTGATTGGATATCTTCTGATCAGGGAAATTTCTGATTGTTACATTTAGGTGACTAGAACCATTTCCAGACCTCTGGCTGCCGGATCTCTTACACCTTTCCAAGCATTGGTGTTTCTTGGAGCTCAACTAAGTGTTGGTCTGTCTGTATTACTCTCTCTAAACAACTACAGGTATTAAAAAATCACCACTCAGTTATTAACTGATAGTAAATTTTTTATTGAAACAGCATACTGGTACATCTCTCTAGAATTTTTATTGCAATGCTGATGACTAACTATTAGATTTTGAAACTTAATCAAACTTGATAGATACTCAGTATTTTTAAACATCTTTCTTATTCTGCTTATACACATGATGCTTCTGTCATTGCTGACCCCAGCAGTATGCCAGATGAGTTCTCTATAGAGCTTTGGAGCAAAAAAACATAGATGTGAAACTTGATTCCTTATGCAGACACAGATCTTTCTTTCTCTCTCCCAAATTTGCAACAAGAGGGAAAAACAGTTTTCTTTAAATTTTGAAACTGCCTCCTTAAATGTTTTTTCTTGATCTGAACACAGTATTATCCTTGGAGCTGCGTCTCTTGGACTTGTTGTCACATATCCTTTGATGAAGAGAATCACTCACTGGCCACAAGCCTTCCTTGGTATGCTGATTTACTAATTCTTCATAATTCACTAAAAAAGCAAAAAATTAGGTTAAGGGCACCCTGAAGGGAACTTGAAGGAGTACTATAAATTAGGAGCTGAAAGAGAACAAGTTATTTCTTGTCCTAGATCACAGGGTGTCCTGCCCAACTTATCTGATAGTCGCAATTTGGTGACCCTAAATCAGAAAGTGGTGGTCAAAAATTTTTAAAAAATTGCTTGACAATCAAGCAGAAAGTCATTTTTTTTTGTTAAAGAAAGAAGATCATTTTATTGAAATATTTAACTCAATTTAAGGTAAAAACACTTTCATTGTTAGTAAAAAAGAAAAGATGCAGTTTGGCTCTCGCTACCATATACTTTTGCATCTGCAAATTTAGTAGCCAATTGAAAGTATTTTGCTACTTGCCTTGGAGAGAAATCAGGCACTGCATAGAGTGCTGTAAGAATTGTGAGCATGACACTGGAGCTCATTGCAAAATCTTTTGATATACTTTCTAGCTGCTGAACACTATGAAGTTAACTAAAACTTATCTATATTTTAAATCAGGGATGACGTTTAATTGGGGTGCTCTGCTTGGCTATGCTGCAGTTCAAGGAAGCTGTGATTGGTCTGTCTGTTTGCCATTGTACATTGCAGGAATTAATTGGACACTCATTTATGACACTATCTATGCCCATCAGGTTAGTGTAGTGAAATAAAAATTAGAGCAATTCTCTCTGCTAAAGAATTTTGGTAATTCTGTCAACAGTAGTCCAAGTTTGGAAATATATGGTTGATTTCCATTTGAGGCCTAATTGTGAAGAGATGTGAGAAGGAGATGGTAATCAAGTTGTCTTCTCAGGGTTCATTCATTAACACCTGAGTACTATACCTCTCTTGATATGAAATAAATTTTATCCTGAGTGGATGGTGTTTTTTTTTTTTTTTTTTTTTTTTTTTTTTTTCTGGCTGGCTGCTAAAAAATCAATAGAGAATACTGTGTCTTCTACAATGATCAGCAATTTTATTCCTAAATTCCATTCAATAATTATGGGTTAAAAAATTTCCTTCTGCCCATGATTTTAACATCTTCTTAGGTCATCATAGTGTAAGGAACTAATGATCATTTTAGGACATCCATCACCTGGACAATTACACCACACAAATGAATGAAATCTGAACCCTTCAGCAATGTTTTGTTGATATCTTTCACACAGGATAAGGATGATGATGTCTTAATTGGTGTCAAGTCCACAGCATTGCTATTTGGAGATCAAACAAAGCCTTGGCTAACAGGATTTAGTGTGGTTATGCTTAGCAGCCTCATTCTTGCTGGAATGAACAGTGATCAGGCTTGGCCATACTATCTGGGACTGGGCTGTGTTTCTTCTCATCTGGCATGGCAGGTAAGGGAAACACGATTAACCTAACCTGGAGTTAGTGTTAATTTTTAATTCAGTATAATAGCTTCGCAAAGGGATTTTCTTTCTGTATTTTTACCCATTGGTCTTGAGTCATATTAAGATCAGCCCCCCCAAAACCCTTAGCTTTTACACAAGCACATGTACATGAGAAATTAAAGCTAAGGTTAAATTTTAATCTCAGGTGAATGTTAACCCCCTTTCGAACAACTGGTGCTGAATTTATAAGTGTGTGAACCAAGGGCACAAGTGAATTCAAGAAGTGGCAATCATATAGCCTGAGCAATTAAAAATGTGGTCCTGTGGTCTTGGTCTTATGTAGCGCACTCCATTAGTCCTTAGGGTACTTCTCCAACCAGGGCCCAGTTATTCAATGAGTGAATCAACCAAGGCCCAGTTATTCCAAGGGTGAATGATGCTATCCAATGGATAAGTTGCTATCCAGCGGTTAAGTGTCAATGAGAGATGCCGCACTATCACTAGATAGAGATTTATCCAGTAGATACAGGGTTTTTATAGGTCCTGGAAAACCTGGAAAGTCCTGGAATTTTACTTTGACATTTTCCAGGACTGGAAAGCCCAGGTCAAAGACTACAGGTCCTGAAATGCCTGGAAATCTGTTTAACTTGAGTAATAAAGTTTTCAGAATTTACGTTATAAGAAATGTATGAAGACTGTAAGGAGAATTTATTTTGAAATTTTGGGAATGAAAGGGTTCAAGGTGGAATTTGGAGTCCTGGAAAAATCAATCTGAGTCCTGGAAAAGTCCTTGAAATTCATTTCTGAAAATGGGTATGAACCCTGTAGATAAGAGGGCAAGTTTCTGCAAATAGTCTCCACTGCCAGTTTTTTGTGCCTTGTTCACTGGATCATTATGAAGAATGAGGAACTCATTAGCCAACATAGGTAGGGTGTCTTTTCAAAGCTTTGACACCTAAGAACAGTATTCCTTCACTATACCCTAATCAAAGTACTGTTGATGGAAGTAACACGTCTTGAGCAAACTCAGACAGATTTTGTGAAAAATTTTTTTCAGATTAAGACTGTAAATCTCTCCAATTCTGCTGATTGCTTATCAAAGTTCAAGTCCAATAAGTGGCTTGGGTTGATTTTGTTTGCTGGTGTTGTGGCTGGTACTATTGTCAAGAAAACAACAGAGAAAGAAGAAACTTAAGAGGCAAGAAACAAACCAAATAGCTTTCTTAAAAAAAAAAAAAAAAAAAAAAAGTGGTGTTGACTGGGAACACGAAACACCAAATGTGTTTCCATAGGCACAATTACCAGCTTCTGCCTGGGTAATGAATGTGCTCACATCACCCTACCCCCTACCCCACCACCTCTGAAGTTGCTTCAAGTTGGGAGGATTGAAGACCTAACCCAAGAAAGTGGCTGAGCAAGTCTTTCCATTCTTATGAATGGATGAAAGAAATTGAAGGAAAGAAGAAGTATTTTTAACTGATCTGTGCTAAGTGAAAGGTCAGATGTAGATAGCATGCCCAGATTTCAAGTGATCATAGGAAACTAGGATTGCCAAGACATGCAAATAAAATTGTCCAGCTCAATAGTGTGATTCAGTTGTGACAAAAACAAATCACTGCATTTTTATGTGCAAATAATTTATTTTTCTTGCTTTTTTCCCTAATTGCTATGTGTATTCAAAAGCTGGGAAAAAATTACACTAGTCAGCAATGAAGCTATAAATGTTTATCCCCATAGTGAATTTTTAATAAATGTTTGGAAAAATAAGTTATTTTCAATATTGATACCAAGGAGCAAAGATGGTACCTTCACATCGGATGATCAATAAGTGTCTGATTTTGAGTAGATCCAAATAGTGTATAACACTATTTCCAGTAAACTTAATTATGGTCTAAAGAAAAAATAGAATCTGAGAAGTTTATACAATGTAGCAAGAAAACTTTGAGTGCAAAATGAAATGTCTTACCATGAAATAAAGTTTGACAATGTTCTTCCCTTCTTATTTGATATTTTGATGTCTGCTTCTTAACAGAAAATCACAAAAATTACCTTCTGGCAGAAGTTTCAGTCACCTAAAACTACAAATTTTTCCCTAATAAAGATAAAACTTGCCCACCCACAGAATAGAACTCCCACAAATGTTTTCTTGCTTCAGGTAGCATATTAGAGAAATAATTTTTTTTCTTAAACAAAACCTCAAGTGCCACAGTCTAAGAGTCATGCTGCAAGTGTGTTCAAATTGTACCAACTATTTCTTTCATTGATCAACATTATATTGAAGCATATTCAATAACTATCTAAGATAATGATTATATTTACTATGACTTCTACGCTTTTATGGCTGGCTTCAACCTGATACTGAATTGCTTCATGAACGTGTGCTGTATGTCTAAATGCATATTATTTCATGAATGACAACGGTAACCCTCAATTTCAGGTGATAGTTTAAGCTATTCCTTGCATTTTTTTCTGCACAATTATGCTACATTTGCCATTGGGGTGTTTTTAATGTACAACAATATGGAGGAAAAGTGAAAACTATCTCATTATCCATTTACAAATCTGCCTAACAGTAAAATTTAACATCGCGTGATGCATTGGCAAAAAAAGTATTAAATATGAAGACATTATTTTGCTTTAAGTAATTATTTTAGCCAATCTCGCAATAAACTAGCTTGGTTACATGTACAGATGCTTTAGGAAAGATAGGAAATGAATCAGATAGGAATTTGGCAGTTGTAATAAATGCAAACCTATTAATCCTACTCAACCATTAATGACACAAATATTGTCATTATTACAATATACTTATATTTCTGGAAAAAGTCCCTTTTTATCTATGATAGCCACAATGCCATTGCATTCATGTATAAAATAGGTAGAAATGTGAAAAATCTGTACAAGGAATTCTGTGCATCTGTTAATATTACAAAATTAGCTGAAGCGAGGCATGAATGGTGATGAGTGAGTTCCACTTGAGGAAGATTGATTTGGATCTAAAAGAAAAAAGAAAGTCAGTTAATTCTTTTTTAAAAAAGGTGTGCGAAACAAATTTTAGACTCTGATGGAAGAGGAGAATTCTGAAGTTCTTCAGTTGTGTGTTTTTCTCCCTTGCTGCCCCATTCTTTGAGATGTCATGCAATGTGGCCACACCCCAAAAAAAAGCTGTGAAGGAAATGTGCAGTGTGTATGGAGTCTTGGAAACAAAGTTTTCAGACTTTCTGTGACTCCTACACATGTCACTTATCACACACAAAACTAAAATTTTTAGATTTAGAATAATCAAATTAAACTCAAACTTGATTCAATTTTGCTGTCATCATTTCCTTTGAATTATGAATATTTCATTTACAAAATTGTAATCTGTAAACTTAGTTAAGAAACAAAAGAAAGTGATTTAATTGAACTAAGCATTTATGGTCTCGAACCTTGATTGTCTGGACTTGTGGTGACTGGGGTGAATAGTTTGATAATTGAGAGTCCAAATCATTAAAAATATAAATATAAATGAGTCAAAAATTACAACTGAATAGCTTAAAAGAGAACATGTATCAATATCATGCAAGCATTAAAGCAAATTCTCAAATCATTGTGCATAACTAGTAAACATTGTCAAAAGTGTTCACAAAAGACTGCTAAGGCTCACCAACAATGCTTTACATCTACCTAACATGCAGACATAAATCAATTTGTTTCAAACTGCTACCGTGAATGCTGTTAGTTAATATTCATAAAAGAATGGGACCACAGAAGAGAGTCCAATTAATTAAAAGATCCTGATGATCGCAAGGTCCTTATAATCATGATTTGACTGTAACATCAGTAAAACAGGCAAGTGTTTCCTCTTGGGAATGAGAGAAAAAGGAAAAATTTATTAATATCCCACAAAGTGATGCAAAATACCTTGATAGATGGGCTGATTGGGTACCAAGGTACCATGGGAAAGCTGTAAAGCAGGCAAGTTCTGATTGGTTGTTGGGGTCATCCCCAAAAGAACTGTGGAAATTTAAACCAATAGGTAAATGATTTTAGATCTTCATCTAAATTATCTTTAGCAGTTAATTTCCCTTTTCAACTTCATATTATTGATGTAACAGCACTGTTTCTGTGCAAACTTGTCACTTCCTTAATTAATCTTTACAAAATTCAATTACAATGACCCCACCACTTGATCACTCGGTATTAAATCTTTTATCATCCCTTTTACTGATGGGGTTCAAGAAAAAAAGTATACTGTTTCCAAATTATACTACTCCTTTATGTCTCAGAGATGATGGATGAAAAACCTCTTCTAAACACTTAAACTTCCAGAAGTTATATTAACATGTAACTTCTCCCAATAATATCTGAACAAAAACAATGAGAATACTCATTCTCTTATCAGGTAGAAGTTGTTATCTTGATCATACAACAAATTCCTTGCAACAAATTTAAAAGAAAATTTGCAGCAACAAGAAGGGAGAATTGACAGTCAGATCTTTAGAGTTAAAGAATTAAAACATCAGTCAAAGGCACCACTTCTACTATCTGCAATAAGACATTTAGGAACAGTACCTTGATTGAAGTGATTCGGTTGCAGAGACAGGCCAGATTGTTCCTGCGACTGTCGAGACAAGTGGTTTAGCATGGCTGACTGCAGATTGGGTGTCACAAATCCAATGTGGGTTAGAGGTGTGGTGCCCTTGCCTTGGAGATTGGCAGCTGCAGCATTGAACAAGGTGAGGTTGGGAGGCTGAGGTTGAAGGAGCACTTGTGAAGGAATGGTTGCGATGGGTTGAGTTGACAGACCTGGGTTAAAACCTGGATGGACTGCCTGGCAGCTCTTGAGATCTGGTCTGTAAACATGATGGAAAAAAATTGCCAATTAAAATAACCATTGAAATAAAGGTTTAGCATAACTATCTAACACCAGATTCTTGTGATTAATTTACAAAGAAATATGTAACAGCTAGGGGGGAGAGTTAGCAATCAGATCTTGGGAGTTAAAGGGTTAAGTGTATTGCCCAAGAACACAACCCAATGAAGTAGCTAGGTCAGTGGCACAGACCTCTCGTCTTACGGGTTAGCACAGTAACTGTTACCATCATTCACAGGCCACTGATTCACTCCAAATTCTTGCTTGTATCTAAAATGGCAATACTTGACAAAAATTGAAGGGGACAATTTCATAACACTGCATCGACAAATGCACAATCAGTCACAGCTACTTACCTTCTTGTAGAAACAGCATCCAAAATTGTTGGACTTGATGTGGCCAAGGAGACTGGGGTTTGTTGCTGCCTCAGCGATGATGCTAGGTCAATAAAGTTGTTAGGCAAACCTTGAGCAGCAAGGCCACCAACTGTTGATGCTATTAATCCTGACTGACTTACACTGGAACTCTGAACAATAGCAGGTGAGGAGCGAATGATCTTTGGTGGGGATGACATTGCAATTTGAGTGCGTGCAGGTGAAATTGTGGAAGACTGAACTGGGACTGAAATTGTTGATGTGACTACAGAACTAGGCAAATGAGTTAAGGGTTGATCTCGAGGCTTCTCCTTAGGTGATGCCGGGGTTTTGGTTAGGAATGAACCTGACTGTTGCTTTGGAGGTATTGTCTGTGGAGGTTGGAGAGGTTTTGTTGTAACTGCTTGTCCCTCTGGATGAATCATATCTGCAAAGTCTAAAAGAGTGAGAGCAGGCTTTGACTGAAGGCTGTCTGATGATGATGGCAATTTTATGGCAGACTCCTTCTGTGGAAGATTTAATCCTGCAACTGCTAGTGCAACTTGGGTTTTCTGTTCAGGTCCTGATCTGCTCACAGCAGTGCTTTCCATTTTTGTCACACTAGCAGTAGTAACAACAGGTTTTTGCACCGATAACACAGAAGTAGGGGATGCCATATCAGTGATTATCCGGTCTGACTGTGCAAGATTCTTCAAAACTGACAAAGCTGTTGCTGCTGTTGTTGCAGTCAAAGATGGTGTACGTGCTGGTGATGTGATTGCAGGAGGACTTCCAATGCCCACTACTGAGGAAGCAACACTTGGCATGCCCTTAACATCAGTGCTGCCAGAATTCTACAAGACACAACAGTACATCTCAATACACTAGTCAGAAAAAAATCAATACACAATCAGCTTGTAAATTCATTTTATTCAATGTTCTAAGTACTTCTGCCTCTGATTCCAAGATTAGATGTAAGTCCACACACTCAATTTAAGGTTTGATTTCACTGCCATGAGTGAGGAAGGAGAGTAATGCAGCAAGTCAATGATAATATCTACTGACCTGACTGGTTTGACCGGGGAGACTAACACTCTGGTGAGCATCTGGAGATTCTCCTTGTTTCTTGGGGCCAGGAGCTACAGAGAGGAATGTAATCAAGGTCAAAGGCCTGTTGAAGTTTTACTTGAGAGGAAAAAAATACTGATAAAAATAACCTATACTAAACAATATAGACGTTTTGACAGGGAGTCAGAGAAGAGTTAAAAACACCTTTCATTTCAAAATAATCCAATTGAGAGTTGAAAGTAAACTGGGACTGCACTAGTTTTGCTTCTTCACATTCTTTGATCAGCTTTGACATTTTCTCCCAAACCAAACAATCAGAAAACAAAAGCAAAAAGGACAAATCACAACTTTGTTGCTCTAATTCTCATATGCTTCAAGAATTTTCATTGAATTTTTTGTTTCAGTTCTCACTGGCTCTAGTAATATTTTGGTTCTAGTTTAACCACATAAAAATTGCACTTGAAATACCTTATGACAAATCTTACCTTTCTTAGGGGCTTTAGCTCTGAAAGGAGAAATAAAAACATTAAGTTTGAACATCATAATTATTTCAATTCATTGTAATCAATAGATGCCTTATGAATAAAAATGTTTCTCTTACGGAGGATGGGTGTACTTGAAATGTGCCTGCTTGCTTTCTTTGAGGAGAATTCTGAGAGAAACAAACATAGAAGAAAATTAGATGTAATAAGATGTAATATTCTAATCTCGCAGAAAAAAGCATTAGGCTCAGTTCAGATGTCATGCTTCTGCTTTGCTGAACTTAATTCAAGAATTGAGTTTGACGAAATCAAACTTTCTTATTAAGTTCAGCAAAGCAATTAAGTTCAACGAGCTCTGATCAACTGGGCCTAGATCAACAAAATCTATGGATTAATTCAGCAAGTATGGATCAAGTGCCAACCTGCTTGTCATCCAGCCCTTTGGCCACAGTGGCCGTACATCATTTTCAAAGAATAGCTAGAAGAAAATTGCACATTATAAGAACAAAAAAAATCCATAACCTGGTGGAAATTAAAAAAGAGAGAGAAAACTTGGAACTTTTATGCATCTTAACAATGGACATGCAACTAATGTAACCCTTAGATAAGGTCGTAGATGTTTTTCAAAGCCAAAATACAAGATAACTACATAATACTAGAATTATAAAAAAACTTTTACTCAATGGTCTGACATAGAATACATACAGAAAGTTTGCTCAATGCACATAGTTTTCTTTGCCTTCCCCCCCCCCCCTTGTAAGGCTCAGAAAAATATTACTTATTTAACCCTTCAATTCCCAAGATCTCATAAGTAATTCTCCTTATTGTCTGTGATACAGTTCTTGTGATGTTAGATTGGAGAATTTGATATTAGATCAACTTGTAATCCCTTAATTGATATTTTTCTTTATTCTCATCACTTGTTTGCTTGATATGGTATTGATATTGTAAGGAGAAATTCTGTCTTGGTGAGTAAAGGGTTAACTAGCAAAGAATCTGCATACAATCAAATAATGTGCATATGTTACCTTCAACTGTTCCTCAGCAGATTGAGTTCTAGTCTTTGACATTTCAAAAATTTTGATTTTCATTTGAACAACATCACATAGAAGAGTCCTGATTGAGAGAAAGTTTTAAGTTAACAGATCAAAATTCCTATGTACTAAGAGTCCACTGACAAAATCAATGTCAAAAGGAACAAGAAAACTATTCTCAGCAAAGCATTTATCATTGTGCAACAAATGAAAATTATGTGTAGTAGTAAATTGCATGACTTCATATATACCTTAATTCTTCTGTCCAAATAAATTTGCGCTTTGGAACATTCTTCTTTGCTTTGTCCTCTGGCTGGGCAGGTGCCTTCAATTAAAGGGAAAAAAAATTCAATTCTTCACAGCTAAACTATCATCAGTCTTGCCTGTTGGATCACTAAGGTAACAAAAATTAATTTTCATGAATTTAATTTTGTTCCCAAAATGGAAATTCAGCCTAAATTTACACCAGTTCATAAACACAGAGAATAAAGTTTTCAAGAACTTGGGTACTAGCAAAAGCAGAAAGTGATTTACAAATAGTTAAACCTACATTAGGATCTGTAGGGGTGGTGATTTCATCATTTTTCTCTGTATCTTCAACTAGCTCCATAGCAGATTTGAAAAGTTCCTTCTGCAATAAAAGATGTCACAATACTAAGGATTAGTAGATGTTCTGATCAAAATCCAGAGCAATATTTCAAGGTTGTCATCAAGTTCATAAAGTTGCTTTTTTACATACTATTAAATGAAATAATTAAAATATTCTTGCTACCCTTTCTTCTCAACAGAGCTACAGTATGGCCATTTGATATCTTAAATAAAATGATAAATTTTTAGTGTGTACCCAATAGAAAAATTTCATTCAAGCTTATTCTCCATCAAACTGTCAACTAAAGGAAGGAGGTAAGATCTTGAAAGATAGTACCACCAACAATTATCATTACACCCACGAAAGATGATTTGTGCTTGTCACAGAAGAGAAGAAAAAGCCCAAGCCCCCTCTCATGGGACCTTTTTTTTTTCCCTTCCGCCCACACAACTTGTAGCAGATCAAATGTTTTTAAAACATCTTTCTTCATTCAAGAACTAGGCTCCAAATTTACCACCTCTCTTAATATATCTCTCTACCTTGTGATCTTCTGAATTCTCTCCATCTTGTTTGGCACTGCTGAAGGAAAGATAAGAGAAAACAGATTATACTAAAACTTCACCCAGAAAGGACTGACTGGCCATGGAGAAGAATCACAAGTCAGAAAAAACTCAAGAGTATTTTCCTTCAGTGGCAAGCCAGGTACATTTAACTTACCTTTGTTTTTTACTTTCTTCCTCCACATGTTTTTTTACTTCTTCTTCAAATCTCTTAGTTTGTTCTGGTATGACACGATCTACAGCTGAGAAGACCAGATCAGAAAGGTATCAATAAAAACTTTTTTCATTCCAAAAATCTTGCAGTCATTACATATATCTACACTTCTGAAGCAATTGCAAACACAAACATGTCCCATGCTTCAAACAACTCTTCTAATCACTACATTGCCATCAATAAACCCAGCAACTTGGTGAGCATTTTACATTTCTACCTCAGAAAACTACCAATGGTGGCATGTAATGTTTAAGAGATAAATTTTATGGCCTACCTGCTTTGAGTTTAGCCATTGGCTCCCTCAATCGCCCAGCCTGAACAAAACAGAGAATTACAGTTCACTAGTCAATAACAGTCAAGACTTTTGAAACAACCTCCTAACCAATAAACAATTTGACTACCAATATAATGTAAATGGGAAAGTGGCACCGACTCACTCTGCGTTACCTGATCATTAAGCAGAAGGTTCTTTGCTCTCTTTACCAAAGTTTCCTTTGTACATGGCAGATAGAAAGCTAAAAATTCATAAATTCCCTGCAATTGAAGTGAAATTTTCAAATTAGTTCTTCTTTAAGTTGACAAAATTAATCCCTTACAAAGTACAGAATGGGAGACAAACTGGACTCCCATTCAAAAGGTCTGCCACTCTTTTGCCCTTCCCCTCCCCCTCTTCCCACAACTGCCTCTATCTCCAAATCAAATATGGCCAGTTGAATAGATGATCGCCAGATTCTTAACATTAGCTTGCCCTAATAAGACACCTGCACTGTAGGCTAAACCTGGCCAGGTCATTGTATTGTTTTCTTGCGCAAGATAGTTCACTCTCAGAGCCTCTCTTCAGCATAAATGGGTAACAAGGAAATGTCACAGAAGGGGAAAGGGGATGCAATATGTAAACTAGTGAAGCAATACTCCCAGCTGCTTTCAAAGTGGACACCACCTGGCCCAAGTGTTGAATTAACTTTTTTCAGAGGACATACCTATGTATTCAACATTACCACACAGGTTAACTGTCAATTTGCAATCTACATTATCCCTCCACCAATGATTCAATAAACCATGTATAAATAAGCACACATGTGATTTTGATCATTCCTTACCGTTCGAACTTTACTGCTGAGAGTTACAGATTTGGTGGCAAGTCTATAGAGGAGATGAAAGCAAAAACAATTATTTAAAGGACTCAATACACATTGTAGTGTTCCATATCTTCCCTGTGACATACAATATTTTAGTCTTTGCTTACACATATTTAAACAATTTCCTGCTGCTGCTGTTGTTGTTATTTAAGAGCCTAGCAAGGCAAAGCAATAGCAAAAGAAGTAAAGCCTCAAAGTTACAAGTATAACAAGTAAACGCATCCTACTTTTCCAGGTGATTATACTGTATATCACATTCAAAGGGAGGTTAGCAACATTTAAAAAGAGCAATTAGTACCAAACAAAAGTATACTTACTCAAGCAACATAAGGTTGACATCAGAGTTGAAAAACTTGCATTTCCCTTCCATACTGCCACTCCCTGCTTGCTTTAGTTTCAAGATGCAACTTTCAACATCTGTCGGCAAACACTGTGGAAGATTTGGTTCTGTCACCTCTCCTGAGGTGGCAATTGCTGGCTGGATTCCATTTTGAAGCAGCGAAGAAGGTGAGGAACTAACACCTTTATCCGGTGGTGCACTTCCTGTGTTTTCTGTCAATGCAACATTGCTGTTGCCATTCACCAAAGTAGAAGTGCCTGGTTCAGTTTTAACAGCTCCATGATTGCTGACTTGTGGAGCATTTGGTAATTTTTCTGGCGATAAATGGTTTGTCACTGCACCATTTGTTCCTTGTGAAATCAAACTAGGTGTTGTAGAAGAATTCAAAGAGGCAGTTGTTAAAGTCAGAGAAGTTTTTGCAGTGGAAGAAGAAGATGAATTGTTTGAATTGTTAGTATTCCCAATACTATGCTTCTTTTTGGATTTCTTCTCTTTTTCCTTCTCGCCACTAAAAGAATTCAAATTACAAAAATGACAATTAACAGACTGAGTGCAGTTATACCATTACAGCTGTGAAAAACAAAACCATTGACTAAAAACAATTCTAAAGAAGTTTCCCAAAAAAGAGAGTAGCTTTCCTAAACTTATGGATTGATCAATTCAATGCCCACTTTACTGTTAACTCTTCCTTACTTCAGTTCGTGAAAGGTGATATGTGATAGCGCTGGTTTGAAAGGTAATTGCACAACAAAGAGATGAGGTTCTTTAGAGGAATAAAGACTAGTTACCACTATATCAACCAGACCTCAAAAGTATAAAAAGATACAACCAATCAAAGCTAAGAATACTGCATTAACAGAGAGGAAGGAAAGTCTGGCTGTGAATGTAAAACTAAAACAATTACAAGAAACAGAGTAAAGAAGAATCCATTCTGACACAAAAATTTGAGGTGGCAGTACATTTACATCTGACAGTACATGTACCTTGAGCTCTTCCGTGGCTTCTTTTCTTTGTCCGATTTCTTCCTTTCCTTCTTTTCACTTGGGATCTTGACTTTCTTGACTTTAGGCACTTTTGGAATTTTCTGAAAAAAAAAAAAAAAAAAAAAAAAAAAAAAAGGATCTCCATCAATCACAAGAAATGTCTCTGCCATCTTGGAGGAATAAGATTTTTTCCCCCACACTTATGAAATCACAATTTTTTTCCCCCTTTTTTTTTAAATTCAAATAATAAGCATAAAATTTTCCATCTTTTTCTTTCACATCCATCACTTTTGACATTACAGATCATAAACCCAGTGTATGGCCTAGCTTCTAATTGAGTTCTCTATAAGGCTCAGCAGTAGAGTAGCACCAAATTATGTTGAAAATGTGAGCCATACAGGCATAATTAGTAATAGAAATTACTACCTTGGGAGATTTAAGCTTAACCTTCTTCACTTTCTTAAAGTCCTCATCATCACTGAAATTCAAAGCACAACAACATTAGTATTCATGTTGCACTGTACTACCAACCACCAAACACAGGTCAACAAATCCATGGCTTTTATTGAAAATCTTGTTGCCAAATTTTTCCTTCTTGCCACAAAGGTCAAAATGGTCATAACTTGGACCATTATGACTGACATCAAACACACCACACTTTACAGCTAGATATGTACCTTTCACCTCCTGGGGACACAGGTCTGAAGTTCAGTGTACCCTGGTTGATGTAGAAGCCACCATGCTCTGTTGTCCAATCAGCTGGTAGCAGCTCATCATACTAAACAATGAACAAGACAAATTAAAAATCTACAGCTCTTCAAAAATCTGAGAACAGTAAAATCACATGGATTGTGCATATTTAGAGAAACTAATCAGTGCCATCCGAAAAGCCTTGATCTTTATCTACAGCACTATTGTCCAACAAACTCTTGTAGGTAGTTAAAAGCTTTATTTAAAAAAAGATGAAAAAAGCACAGTGATATACAATGTACCAGTTCCTGGAGTGCATATACTCAAAAGTAGATCTGATAATTCTTCAGAGCTGTGCATTGACTATAGGGTACAAAATCAAGTGAACCTCAAGTAACATACTCATATACTTGACCCGTGTCATAGCAACACCTGATTTCCACTAATTTTCAACCCTTAACTCCTATGAGCAACCAAAACAGAACTTCTCTTTCTACTGTCAATACAATATTAAGTGGACAAGAGATGAGAATAAAGAAATGCCAATTACAGGATTATTAGAAGACCCACTACTAAATTCTCTGAACTAACATCAGAAGAACTAAATAATTGAGATCTGGTAACGAAAGGGTTGACAGATGTAGATGAAAGTAAATTGTTTGAGTCCAGAGCTAAAACTTGATCATTAAGTCTAACTATGCAAGTGAAAGTTGTCCTGGAAAGTGCTATTAACAATGACAAAAGCTGATGCTTTGACCTAAGAAGAAATCTTTCTCAATGAACACTGATGACTTCTACTAGTGTTTTCATGAAATAAGTCACTGTCTGTATCTGTAGTTCCTTTCAAGAATACTCACACTTGAACAAACATACCACAAGATCAGAATTATAACAATAAGCAAGGGTAATAATACACTGCAACAATCCCATTTTTAGCAAAATATCCAAAAGTTCCAAGAGTCACTCACAGCCTCACTATCATCAACAAAAGGGTCTGTCTCATCATAGCCATAAGTGACATCAATCAAATCCTATAAAATAAAGACAATAAAAACATTATGAGAAGAACATTAACAGGGTCCTGGAGTTCCAATGATCTGGTAAATTAAAGCAACAACTGGCTCTTTATTTATTCTAGATCTGGCACAAATACATTCAGGGTTGTTTTATTAAGATTTTTAGTAACTAGACTGTGATACAAGGTAATCAGTACTACATAGCTTTATTTCCATTAATGCCATGCTTCAAGCTGAAAAATTGAGCTCAGAGTAGACAGTGAAATGCCACTGTTACCAGCATATTTTGACAACCCTAGTATTTAAAGCAGCTATACCATGCTTATTTGAAGTGTCTTTAAGGGGTGGGGGGGAGGGGGGGGGTGTCATTTAAACTGTGATCCTTGCTTGAAGTAAACCTTTCTTTAATTGTTTACCATGGCAGAATTAGACCAAAACGTAAAAATCAACTTGAACCACCAAAGGGGTGAAAAAGGAGTGTGTGAATAACATCATGCACTAGAAAAATATTTGCAACGTCATGTTATTTCCCATTGCACATTCCAATCCGTATGGGAGTTTATTGGTGTCAGATCTAGAGCAAGATTGTACGATTGGTGTAGTTTGAAAGTAGTTGTCTCTATTGATCTAGAGAGGAAAATTGCAGTACTCTTAAGAAGCACTGATGGCATACATTTCTGTTCACTATCTACATCTGAATCATCTGCTACTTTAATTAGTCAAAGCAGTGAAATAACTGTCATGATCTGAAATCAATCTTAATCTTTGCCTGCTAGCACTGGCTATTAGAAAATCCCAAAAGATCACTTGAGAACTGTGTTGTTCCCTGACACCTGAAGACCTGCTAAGAATTTGACAAAATACAGAGACCACCAGCACACTAACCAAGGGTACTGAGACTCCCGATATAAAATAACTGACACGGAAATTAACGATGTGGACAGCACTGACATGATCAGTAACAATTAAGGGGTTGACTTCAATGAAATTACATCACATCAAGAGGTAGTAGCAATGAGAGTTACCAGTTGATTCACAACACAGAAATAGAATCAACTCAAGCTGTGCAAGTCACATTTGGTCTGATTTCGGAGTGACCCTTTGATTAAGTCAATTTATAAGAACACAAAAGCTATGCACCTTGTACGTGGTTGCAAAGAAGAGAGTTGCATTGCAACACAAGTTAAATAACTATGTATTTTTAAAAATGGTACCAAATAGTCAGGGTTGATAATTGATATTGTTGAATATCGTAACAAGATGAACGAAAATGAAACCTATAGCAGAGAATGAACGTTCTCGCGGTTCTTATTCCATCGATCAGATTGTTAAATAAAGTAACCGGAAACAGAATTTAGTAACCCTTCACTATTTCCTGTTCGATAGAAATCAACTGCGATCTTAGACATCGATTAAAGGAAAAATAAAAACCTGCAAATATTGAGACTTAAATTTGTCATTACATTCAATATAGGTAAGATCCACGATTTAATGGGAAAAATCTTCACGCACAAGCAACAATCTCGATTTTAGCCGGTAGCGTGTTTAACAGAAGCGAACAACTTTGTAAATAACGCTAAACTCTCGCGACGTATTAATATCACAAATTAACTGCACATTATAACTGGTATACAAGAAAATACAATAAAGAAATCATGCTTTTAAGGATTTCAATGTTCCCTAAACAAAAGAGTTGAAGTCAAAAACGTTTTAAGATCTTCGAAAAGGCAATTGGAACAAAAACAAGGTCATGTCAAACAGACAATAAATAAGTAGAGTAGCGTAAGCGCTACTCAAAACAAGTGGTTCGAATTATTTTGATTTTACGTTCACGACTGTCGTATCATTACGCCCTCATAACACACTGGTTTAGCCCAATAAAAAACCCTCTAAAGTCACAAGCAATTAGTGTCGTTTTAATCTTTGTAGCAGCGCAAATGAAATACACACGAACTAACGAGTGAAATTGCAAAGGAGCGTAACTCTTGCGGTAGTGCACAAACGTAAGAAACAACACACTACATCAATGAGCAGATAACACGAATTTTGATTTACCTCCACTCGATCTTTTCTACGCTTCTTTGGTTTAGGGGCCTGTTGAAAAAAAAAAAAAAAAAGCAACGCGTTTCAGGACTACGGTCCAAAACACTAGAAGGACATAACATCACGCATTACATTTTGCACGGCTTCACAGAACTGCGGTTTCTAAGGAATCTAACGTACTAGTCAAACATAAATTTTCACCTCACCAAGCTGCAAAACTTACATATTTCTCCTCAAACTTTTTAGCCAAAGCTTTGAGTTTTTCGTCTTCTTTTCCCTCATCGTCCCACGGAGTTTTCTCCGGGGTATTATTGATCTGCGCAAGAACGAAAAAAAATCCCGCGAATTAAAAATCAGTATCATGTACTCCGGCGACAAAAACAGCAATGCATCGACGTGACTCGCTGATAAAATGGCTTCAGCTCTTAAGAGGAGACTTCGTACACTAAAGTATTACCCACCGTAGCGGCCTTTACAAGGTCCAGAAACGAAAACTCCGGGCACTTTTTCTCGTCGCTTTCCGTAAGGGAAAGCTCGAAGCGTAGAGTCTTGATGTTTTCTGGATTTTTCCCGAGTGCATCCACTCTTTCCGAAGGAAACGGGTTAGCTTTTTCCATATTCCATCAAGAGAAAACCGAAAACACGGTCCACCTCACCGGACCCTTTGTTAAACCCCATAGAGGCAAACCTTATCCATCTTGAACTTGCCCGCTTCTCGCACCAAAATTCAACACTTTACACTACTGCGCATGCTCAGTGGCCAACTGCGCAGTCGCAGTGCGATTTTTGGTGGCACTGGCTTCGAAGTTTCTCTCTCGGTGGAAATTTCAGAGAATCTACAACAAATCGAGCAATCTTCCAAAATTCGATTTTTGCCTCGGAATGGGCTGAAAACGCAGAGAACGTGCCTAAAATGACCCAAATGTGAAGAAAACGCGAAAAAAATTGTTTGGATAAATTTTAAAATTACGGTTTTCTGTTCCCCTTAACTGTCTAAAATCCCAAAATGTGATCCTTTTTATGTCCAAAATGGCGAGATATTCGAAAACGTGTACGAATCAGGCCGCTACGCCCCACCCGACGCTCAAGAACGCACATGTTTCCACAGAATCGCCAGCTTAACTACATTATGCAAAGCCCCCATTGTTTGCCCCTGATCAATTTTTCAGCGCTACATGTACCTGATACGCGCTTATGCTTGCGTGAAAAAAGCGCTTTTGTTGGCTGATCGCGGTTGAAAATGACAGATGCTATACCAACCCATCACTGTAATTGGACGCATTGCTGACTATATTTACAGCTCAACAGAACAATATTGCGTGAAATTCACAACTCACTTCCGGTTTCATTATATTTCCGCTGACAAATCGCAGGCTAATCTGCGCGTGACAGCACTAAACATGGCGAAAAGTTAGCTCGGTAATGGCGGCGAACTTCTAAACTTTTTGTGATCAAGGAACCGCGAGTCTTCTTGGTTTGGGACTTTTCTGACAACCTCAAAATGCCATTTTCTTTGCACAGTCACAGTGGGCAGTTCTGTAAGCATGCTTTCTGTACTTTAGAAGAGGTCGTACAAAGAGCAATCGAAGTTGGTTTCACTCACTACGGGCTTTCAGAGCATATGCCAAGATACGAAGCCGAAGATCTGTACGATGAAGAAATTGAGGTGAGTAGTGCTTCGGTCTAGAATTTAAATAGCTTTGAAATGCAGGAAACGTAAAACGAAAAAGGTATGCTCTTTCGTTTTATCGAATTCAAGCTTATGTAACTTACGATTTAGAAAGTTTATAATTCCAGAATGAAACAAATAAAAATAGTTTTTCTGTCTGAGTTTACGACAACAATGCATTCTATGACACCAGCTATCTCAAAGGCCACATATTAATGCTCTACTGCAACCTTTTCCAAACGAACATTCTCAGGATTCGAAAAAATGTTCCCAAAATAGGGGTTTCACGTAGAAGTAACACATTCAAAAAGTTATTGGTAATTGTGAAGAACAATTGGAAAAACCTGTCAACTAACATTTGGCATATGGTCAGCACGCAGTTGGCCAACAGACGGTCAACAGTTGACCAACATACAGGCCACAGTTGGCCGACAGTGGACGATAGACAGCTGATAGTGGCCAACAGAGCACGCAGTTGTCCAACAGTCAGCCAACTGTCAGCCCACAGTTTTAAGCTGACCTGTTAGTGCTGTAATCAGTCCGCCATATTGGAAAGGTTATTTAGACCCCAGTTTCATGCTCACTGAAGCAACTTGTGTATGAATGAATTATTGTATTATTGTGCATTATTATGATTAATTAGGATGGCGAAGACAGGGTTGATCAATTTAATTGCAAGTATAATTACAGACCAAATTGGATGACATGAAGTCCTGTTACCAATTAATCAAAACTATGACTATGACAAAATTTGAGAAAGAAACTAGACATCTATAATATGTTTCCAGTGTGTCAACTATCCAATTAAAGTGTCCAATAATCAATCGCATTCAAGAATTTTGTTGTAATTTTGATTAGGGTTGAACTCAGACTACCTTAGTCAATTAATTTTCCTTTTTTCCTTTTGTTTAATAAGGGACCTGTACACTTTCAAGAAATAGATTGAATTGGGAAATGGAATATTTTGTGGAAATGGTAAAACTGAAAATTATGTATCAGTAAAATAATGGCTCTTGTCATTTTTATAGGAAAATTTGACACCTGCTGATCTTCAGAATATGTTTAATGACTTTGTTAAGGAAGCCAGGCATCTTCAAGCAAAGTACAAAGACAAGATTTGTCTCCTTATTGGCTTAGAAACTGAGGTTATCAGAGAAGACAGTTTTGATCAGATAAGAGCACTGAAAAAACAACATGAATTGGACTATATTGTCGGATCAGTTCATCATGTGGATGGAATTCCCATAGATTTCAGCAATGAACTGTTTGATAAAGCAGTGGAACAGGCAGGTGGAACAGAAGAAGTCATGTGTCAATACTTTGATCATCAGTATCAGCTAATAAAGGAGTTAAAACCTGAAGTTATTGGCCACTTTGATGTCATCAGGAAATATCGACCTGACATTGAATTTACAGATATCCTATGGGAAAAGATTGTTAGGAATGTAAGAGCAGGGATGTCTTATGGAGCTTTGTTTGAGATAAATTGCAGCGGTGCATCACCAACAAAGAAACTTAAATGTCCATACCCACATCCAAGGATTATTGAGGTGAGACAAGTGAAGTGAAACAGAAATTTCATTCTGCATCCTTAACCCTGTAACTCACATTCGTAACCATGACATAATTTCTCCTTACAATATCAATACCATATCAAGCAGATGAGTGATGAGAATAAAGAAAACAGCCTTTTACTTTTTTGATCAAATAAAAAGCTGCACCTCATTTGCCACTTGTTTTTCCTCTCCACGTTTTGATGTTATCCGTGATCTATTACTGAACAGATGCATGGAAACATGAAATAAATCTGTTAACTCTTTAACTCCCAGAAGTGATTAACATGAAACTTCTCCCTATAATACCAATACATTATTCAGGAAACAGGTTATGAGAATATTGGAACTTATCAGGTTGAGGCTGCTATCTTGATCTAGCACCAAGTTCTCATAACTAATTTGCAAGAGTGGAGAATTAACAATCAGATCTTGGGAGTTAAAGGTTTAAATGCAATATGCCCCACTGGCAATGGATAGAAAATGTATTTTTAAAAAAATGGAAACTTAGTGTGCAAAAATACCTGATAATCCAATTTTGAGTGAAAAAGAAATAATTTAGAATGTCTACTTTTCACCTTCTTTGTCTGGCTATTGTTACAAGTGCATTCCCTGACTGCTTTTGCCAGCAGTTTTTCCTTGTTATAGTACACATTTTCGAATGGAATATGGTGTTGTGTCATGCATGTGAAAGCCATTTGCTCTGAAGAAGGCTAGTGAATGTGGGGCAGAAGTATGGGTGTAGGATCAAAACTCTCTATTTATGCTTACTCTGCATGAAATTGGAAAGAGAAATCATAGAATTATTGAAATGAGTTAATATGTGGTTCAATTAGGAATTATTCCTGTTCATCGCACTTAATTTACAATGGTAACACCACTTGCAGTACCAATTCCACTTGCAATACAAAAATTATCTATAACAATAAGCTGATAACTACTGTAATATA